CCCCCCCCAAACAATTTCCATACAAGAAAAATTGGAGATTAAAAAAACAGAAATTTCAGTAACATTTGCACTGTTGACATACACTATATCATAACTCATTTACATAGTACTGTACTACATCAAGAGGAGTTGCTTAAGAGCTTTTTTAAACAACAAAAATGAGAAGTGACTGCGAAGTTGAGCACAAAAGCTGTTCCATATAATTGGAGCTCTGTACCTACGTAATTGAAAACTGGCCAAGGTTAGCTGGCCAGGTTTATATTGAGTTTTTATTAAATGCGAACTAGTCACACTTTTTAAGGATTAATACTGACCCTTCCACCCCCCTCACCACCACCACCACCACAACCACGAAAATGGATCTATAGAGCTTTAGGTTAAAATATTACAAATTTTACTGGAACTGCAGTTTTTTATTGAGTCAGTGTTTTCTCTCTGTGTGACCCCCCCAGCTGACCTCAGCGTGGGAGGACTGTTGACGAAAAAGAAGAAACAGCTCTTCATTCCTTACAGAGACTCTGTGCTGACATGGCTACTGAAAGACAGCCTTGGTGGAAACTCTGTGACCACTATGATAGCAAGTATGTTCTGTAAATCAGCTGACACCAGCACATTTCAGGCCGTTTCCCAAAAGTGCATGTCCCCCTGTCTTTATTCTTGCATATGGTGAGATAAGTGATTAAAAATAATGTTAACCACATAGTCCTTTTTTTGTTTTTCACGTTCTATCTCACCATTGCTCATCCACCTGTGCGCTTCCCACCCCGGGGGCCTCTCACGGCAGCCATCTCTCCCGCTGATGTGAACTACGCGGAGACCCTGAGCACGTTGCGCTACGCCAGCCGGGCTAAGAACATAGTGAACTCTCCCACGGTGAACGAAGATGGCAGCGTGAAGGTGATCAGAGAACTGCAGGCAGAGGTTGCCAGGCTCAGAGGACTGCTGGAAGAAGCCAATCAGGTGCTATGTGTGTTCAAGCTCGCATAAAAAAACCATCAAGCATACTACAATATGTATGTTGACAGTCTTTTATTCAAAGGTTACACTGTAGGTTGGCCTGTCTTTTTACTACTACTCCAGGTTTCCCATGGGGAGCCATCTTCCTCCGTGAAGGTAGAGGAGGAGCTGCATCAGAATGAAGCAAGGGTGAGTCATCCTCTGCCAAATGGAAAGCGGGGGGAGGTTTGATGGGCCCCTGTGTAAACAATACACCTGCTATTCCCCCTCAGGTCCAAGCACTGACCAAGGAATGGACCAGGAAATGGGGCGAGACTCAAAGTATTTTGCAGGTACAGCAATGTACAATTCATAGATTAAATTGTATTTAAATGTAGGAAAACCAGACATTGCATTCCACAAAAAATACACCATTGCAAGCTGTGGTTGTTTTTGTTTTAACATCCAAAATTCAACCACACATTTTTTTTAAAAATGTGATGTCTCCCTTAGTTTTTCTGCATCCCTTACATATGTGACTAAACCCACCAGATCATCCACCCACCTCCACAATACTGTTAGCCCCAAGCGAAAGGAGTTAGAGTCACCCATTTGTTTCAATAAACTATTCTTTCAACTCACAGCTAAAGAGGCCAAGTGAGCTTTATGCCGACATCCTGGGGACAATTTAACTTCTGTTAGTTAGATTCACAAAAGCCTGGTACTGTGTGTTTGATTCTTGGACATGAGCTGGAGGATAACAAGGGAGTAACTGGGGAGAATGGCTTGATGAATTGCCTTATTCCTGTGATCCAGTTTGGTGTAGCACTTTCATTTAATCTGATAGGACTATAAAGACAACCAAAGACTCGCAGCAAAACTCTGTAGTTTGACATCGAGGCATTTTTCTTTAGTACAGAGCTGGGTAAACATTTCAGAGTAAAATGTGAGATACCCATATTCACAGTGCTATTCTTTGGCGCTTTGTTGTTTCCAGACAGACAACAGTTTGTTAGGTGCCCTTGTTACTTATGTTTTTGTTGCTTGCCTTGTTTTGTAAACCCCCATTTTCAATTTAGTAATGTGACAAAACCAATTTGTATTTCATTTTCAAGTCCAAAATTGAATGTATTATTTTGTGAGGAATAATGTAAAAATTATGCCATTTGAAGCCTGGCACAGAAGGATATATGTAAGTAAAACAGAAGAGTGCATAGAGTGTGAAGGTTTGCTCTATTAATTTTAATACTATCCATCAACAAAGCGGCAGGCTCTCAGTAGCAGTTTTGACAGACGCTGCTGCATGCAGTAAAGACATCCTGCCAGGTGGTGTCACTGCAAGTCTTGTGAACAGCCCACAGCCACTTCATGGAGTGGAAAGGGTAATGAGAGTAGAGTCAACCTGACATTTAAATTTAATTTTCCATCTATTTAGGTTTAAATGGCATCCAAAAGCTGGGCTCTTGTAATGATCGTGAAGTAAGTGTGTGTGACAGTGTTTGTGGAGTTTGACAGAAAAGAAACAGAGCAGCCTTCTCCCTCTACCCAATATGGTTTCTCTGAGGCTGGGACAGGGTGGCAGCAGCATCCTCTTACAAGACCCCAAGCTGCAACAAAAAAAATGCCGCAGTATGCCAACCCAAGAGTTTACACTGAACACTTTTTCCTCTGTTGAATTTGTGCCCAACCTCCCAAATAACACCAAATGTCATCTGTTTGGGACTCATCGTACTCCACCAAGCAGCCTGTTGCATTATGCATTGAACTGCGAAGCGTGCCAGTCATGAAAAGTATGCAATGACTTCCTGTGTACATCGTACATGCTTAGCAGTGCATTCTCTTTAGCAGATTTTGAACTGTTGTGTTGATCTGGCCTATAAAAGATTTGTGTGTTCCTGGCTTGTAGATCCTGCACCAGAGTCAAGCTGCACATTTAAGAAGACATTGCGTAATTTTTGAATACCCTACTTATGAATGTTGGCTATAAGTGTGTTGGATAATTAACATTCAGAATCTGTACAGTGGTTAGCAGGTGACATTTAGTGGCTCGACAGCCCTTTTATTCATGACAGTGTATTGGAACTCATTAGCAGCTGTCACCGCTCCTAATTAAGAGGTCTTGATTATTGACATATGGCACTTTAGTCTCTGACTATCCGGCATATTAAATAAAGTTACAGTGTTGTAAATCTGTTTGCATGGTCAAGCAGTGATGGCTTTATGCTCGGAGGCAACATTGTCCATCTATACCGGCAGAGCTGAAAAATATGCCTTGTTTTCAGCTGGGCCCATTCATGTCGGAACACCTGTTATGATGCATGATGCAATGTGACACCTAGGAGAAAAGGCCACTGTACCGGTGACCGGCAGGCTCACTGTTGTTGCCGAAGCTCTAAGTGTTTGATGAATGACTTTATGGATTTGACATTTGTCTTCCTGTGCATTTGCATTCTGCTCAGACGTTAGAGGTGGTGTCTTTGCTCAGCTCAGTACAGAGAAGCACATCCAGCCCCAGTTTGAAGTTGGCCGTCTGAAAATTCAGCACACGTTCTTTGCAAACAAAAGCTTAATCACATCTGTGGAATTTATTTAAAGTAGATTTTTCTTTCTCCTTTTTTATCGAATGGCCCTCAACATGTTTTTAAACAGAATGGTTCTGATATAGTCCAACCTTGAGTGTATGGCGTTACACATAGTGGATGTTCCCGATCTCCTTGTACATGTTTTTTTAAATTACTAGCAGTCTTCTCCAACTCCTCAAGTCTCATATTTTGTGTTTTAATTCAGATGACGCCGTTGCTGAGAGCTAGATTAACATTTCTGCTTGGGCCGTAAGGAGACGAGTTGACCAAGAGCGGTGTAAACAGAATTTTGAATTCTGTATTCAAAGCAGATTTAGAATGCAAAGTTATTCATCGTCAGCTTCCCAGATTGGTTACAGGGCATGTGGGAAAGAGAAAGTAATTAATATGAGATGGATTCCACAGCAGCCTCTTACCAGACAGAGACGGCAACAGATTGAGAGAACAAAAAAGGCAGGAAGAGGGTAAAGAGAAATGTTGTTCTACTTCAGGGGTATATGTATATGTGCACACACACACATGCACACACACAACCACGCACAGATTTGTGAGTAGGTGTACTTCACTTGTGGAGTTCTGCTCCCCAGCCAGCCTCTCAGGTCCCCTTGTAACACAGCGGTGGGAGGAACCTCCATTTCAGTAAGATAAAATGAACCACAGTGTTTCTTTGATCCCAGTGGTCTTTGTATTTCCCAAACATGCTGCAATCAGCACAAAGACACAACTTAAGCCTTGAATGCTGCGAGCCTGCTGGCTCTGTTTAATGTCAATTTAGCTCGTACTGTCAGCAGTTATACATCATAGTATGTCATTATAGCATTTCATGACCTTTACATATTCTTATCAGCAGCTTGCCTTTGATTCTTCACATGCCAGTAAAACTCGGCCCCAAACTAGATTGACTTTCTTTTCCTAATTTAATTCAGAAGAATTGGTTATTATCCGGCCATGTTTGAAACACACATGGCGAGCACATGTTTCATAGGTGTCATTCATGCCAACAAATCTCCTGCTGGGGCCCTGCAATCAGCTGCACAAATAACATTTCACATTCTTTCAACAAATGAACGATACAGTACAGGTCCTAAGTCTTATTACTTATTTTAGCCATTACCTGATGTGAGTTGCAGAGGAACACAAAGCAAGTTTGTCAACCTATCAGAAACCCAGAAGTGCTTTCACCAAGTTGAATTCCTCTATAGTTTTTAACCACAAGCTGCATGCATGACGACATGCTGATGTCTAGCATTAAGGGTGTAGGTTTTGTTTCAACATTGGCGGGGACACGAATAATAATAATGAGTACATTTTATTCATTAGAGCGTTTTTCATGGTACTCCAAGACACTTTACATTAGAATACAGTAAAATACACACATAATTCATAAGTTAAAAGCCGTTTTTAGAAGATGAGTTTCGATGAGTAATTCGGAGAGGTCAGCAGAGTCTCAAATGTATTGGGGAGAGAGTTCCAGGGGGAGGGGGCAGCTATGGAGAAGTCTCTGTCGCCCAGGTCCGGTGCTTGGTCCTGAATGGTGGGGTCAGGAGGTTGGCATCAGAGGAGCGGAGGCTGTGGGAAGGAGTGTGGCCGTGGAGCAGGTTGGTGAGGCAGGAGGGGGCGTGGTTATGGAGGCTTTGAGTGAGAAGGACTTTGAGTTGGAGGCCGTGTGGGACAGGGAGCCAGTGGAGGTTCTGGTGATGTGATCATGGGAATTGGTGAGCAGACAGGCAGCATAGTTCTGGATATATGTATGGATGGTGTACCATAAAGCAGTGGTTCGCAACTGGTGGGTCCTAGATCCAATCTGAATGACTTGTGAACATGCCAAGTTTGTAAAAAACACACTTTATTTTGAAGTACAATGAATTTCCAGCACACAGCTTTTATTTTGAAGTGCAGTTCCCTGCTGTAGAGTGAGTGACTGACGGAAAACTATATGACAGAGACAGCAAACTAGTTCAATGACATGGCTAAACACAATTTGACACTGAGTACATTGAACTGTGTGGACTTTGAACAAATGACTGAAGAGATAGCTGCAGCAGTTGGGAATCACTGCCACAAAGAATGTGTGGGGTCCTCAGCCAAGAAATTTTGAACATCAAACACTTTCTTGCATTCTGGTATATTTTTGCACTAATTTATGCCTTTTCTGCACTAACCTATGGTGAAAATGTAATGTTTCACCATAGGTTAGTGCATCCCTGTCGTCCCCCCCCCCCCAAAAATCTATGCATATAGCCAGAGTGCTTATAAAGCTTTTCGCACAACATTTATATTACAACAAGAACAACAACTCTCTGGTTAAGATTCTGCTTTCACATATAGCACACACGGAAAAGCAAAGAGGTAGGTAAGGAACAGAAACAACTGTTAATAAGATGCCAATTCATTTCTGTCAGTAACCGTAGCGGAATATAACCAATCAAACAAAAGGCTTCATGCCATTTAATAAAACTGTCCATTGCCTTTCCCTTCATGTGTTATTCATTTGAACTTTTATAAAGAGCAGTAATCTAGGATATAAATGCAGCTCTTTCAAGGAAATTAACCTTTTTAATGTAACCGAGCAATTGAAATGCAGCGTTTTTTTTCTCTTGGCTTGGATTCAGTACCTGCTTATCTGTTCTGTTGGCAAGTTGCTCCACTTGACAAGGCTGATGGGCAGTCAGGAAAGAAGGATTGGTTGGCCTAGTATGGAAGTGTTTTGAAATGCATATTAACCAAGTCGGGAACCTGAACTGTCAAAGTGCTGCGAAAAATCCATTAAAAATTCTGCCCAACCACAGATGATGGCTTTTAATGGAAGCCTAAATGCTGCCCGAGCCTGGCTGCTGGTCCAGGCCACAGTTAATTACAGTATGTTCACCAGCTGCCTCAATCTGAAAGCAGACTTTTTTTTTGTCCTCACAGCACACGCATGCAGACTGACTGACTGACTGGGCGTGGTGAGGAGCAACTTTCTCTGTTTTGTGCGTGCGAGTGTCGGGAGAAAATAAGAGGATCTCCTCTGCTCCTGTTGTCTGACGAAAGTGACACAGTGCATTAATCTGCCAGGCTGCTCCTCACCTCCTAATGAAGTCTGTGAAGAATCCCTTTTAATTAAGTACAGGGGCTGGGGTCGATGCCTCTCCTTCTTCATTAGAAAAAAGGATTTCTCCCATCTCACAGCTGCCAATGAGCGAGGTGGTGCCGGTGGTGGACACGTCTCTCACTTCGCGGTCCAATCTATATAAGAGAGAGTAGGAGGAGGTTGAAAGAGAGGGGAACTAGTTTATGCAGAGTGTTGCCTCTGAATCCTCCATATGTGAGATTTTCTGCTCTGCCTCTTGGGGAGGTACTTATGATAATCCATGGCAATGTGAGGCATTAGTCCACCAGCTTAACAGAAGAATACTGATAGGGCCACTCATGCTTGGGTAGACTCTGGGTTATTGAACCACAGCCATTGCCCTGGGAGGAAAAGGTTAGCGGCCTTGAACACTTTGCCTAGAGTTAAGTTTCCCTTTATGGCTTAATTCAGTGTGTCTTTTGAACCCAGCAGGTCATCTAAGGCTAAGTATTTCATTTCTTGTTGAATAATTGGCAAATTAACTGCTCAACGAACTCATTCTGTCTGCAGCCTGTCTGGCCTTTTCTAAAGCTTAACTCATAAGTTAGAAATGAAATAATACAAAATGACATTTTATACAAAGTTAAATGAATATCACCCCCTGACAGGCACACATGCTGTAAGGTGGTGTGACTCATGCTTTTGAATTTCCCCAGCAACAATAGTTGGAGGCAGTGAAGCGGTGTGTGGAGCAGATCAGAGGTTTAAGTGTGGCTGTCCTGTGCTTTAGAAATGGCTTTCAAGGATTAAATCAATTTCTCGACTTCTTATCGTGTTTCTGTGAAGAGGTGCTGTAACACCATGAAATGCATATTTATCAGGGATTTCTGGACAAGCAGAATGGATTATTTTTTTCATGCGGACATTAATTTCTGTCTGACTTTTGAGTTGTGATGCAACTGCAGTGTTGCTTTCTGTGTTGCTGTAATGCAGTATTAATCAATAGCCTATGTGAAATATGGACGTTGAATTGTTTTTCATCATTTGCTTCTGAGATTTGGCATTTATGCAAACACATGCCATGTTTTATGGGCCAGGGAAAAATGTAAAATGCCCCTATGAAATAGTCTTACAATGACCGATCTTACTGCAGTTATTCATAGTCCTCAATAAGTAATACTTATGGAAAAGAAGTGCTCTATGTTTAAGTGTCCACTTCACATGAGCCAGTAAGGCACATGAATTCACTCCAGTTTGACCGCCATACAATACTTTTATCCGACACATTGTAAATGACATGAAGCTACCTGAAGTTTGTTGCCGTTATCTGAAGTTGACACACTTTACAAGCTCAGGAGTATTTCATTAGTAACATGCAGTGTTGATAGCTATGTATCAATAAAGGCAATGGTGCATGGTATACAGCCCACCTCGTGTGTGTGTAGGCGGCGGCACCGCGTCTGCTTCGCCCACTGAACACAATGTACAGTTTGACTCTCGCCACGATAATCTGAATGATTTATGGCGTCTCTCTTGCCGTTAGCCACTCTGCCGCTTCATGGCGACACATGGTTGGAACGCTGCTATTCTGCTTGGCCTTCAGGCAAGGAAGAGCAGTCATAAAGAATTCAGTTTTCTGCTGGTTGCCATTAAATGTCTGTCAGCATTTTTGTTTTATACTGTGTGCCATTCCAGCTACAGGCTATTGAATACTCCTCATGGTATATTCTCTGGTGTATACAGGAGGATGCTGTGGCTCTGAGGAAGGAGGGGAGTGGAGTGGTCCTGGACTGCCAGTTACCCCATCTGATAGGCATTGATGAAGACCTGCTCAGCACTGGAATCGTCCTGTATTATTTGAAAGTGAATCTGAACTTTATATAATGACACATTACTTTTTATTTGTCTCAAATCATTATCAGCCAAGGCCCAGTGCTTTTGTTAATTGCTAAACAACAGCTTGCATATTGTATCACGACCTTTTAATCTTTGCCGTAGGAGGGCAGAACCCTGATCGGGAGTGACGAAGCATCATGCAGTCAGGATATTGGTGAGTCAAGGTCACTACACTCTATTCCCAGCTGCTGTGTTATCCGTTGGACTGAAAGTAAGCAGTATTTCTTTTTACGCTTTCATATTTAATTGTGTTGCAGTGCTTCACGGGCCTGGGCTCCTTGGTGAACATTGTGTGCTGGAGAACCGTGCTGGGACTGTGACTCTGATCCCTCAGGATGGCGCACTGTGTTCAGTCAATGGCTCTGTGGTAACTGATCCCTGCCAGCTGACTCAGGGTAAGCATTTCTGCAAAGATTAATATGCTCCTGATATTCTTTAATGAACACGAGGGGAGGAGAAAAAAAAAGCAAGGCACGTCTGTATTAATGAAGATTTCTGTCTCAGATTCCCAATTATTTGGCTAGTGGGAGGCAATAACACGCTGATCCATTCTGAATGCAGTTATATGAGATCACTGCATCACATCTGCAAATGAAATCCACTTTATGTCCCTGGCACCCCCACGGCAGCGCACTCAGGGCATGAGTGGATTGTGAACACAGCTCTCCACAGGGCAGATGCCATTTCTCTTACTAAACATTTTGAAGGGCGAGGGACCCCAGACAAAGCTCCAGACAAAGCCCCAGGCCCTCCATTTAATTGGCAGATGGAGTTGATAGGGCCGACAGGTTTGAAGTGGGCCAGAGCATTAACCTTTCAAAGGACAGAGCCAAGCGGAGCTGAAACTCCTGCCCCCCTGAGTAGCCCGTGTTCGCCGGGGCTGGGAGCTTTCGCCGCTTACTACCTCCTCATCCACACTACTTTGCTTCCCAGAGATAATAACTGCACACAGAACCAGGCAGCGCAGAGCCTGGCTACGCTAGTCTCTTTTATAACCATTTCAATTTATCCAATATCCCCTTCAGAAACGGCTGCATCTGAAGCTATTTTCTTGAACAAATGATAGTAATTTTCAGTCCAACAGCAGCTGGAATCCATCACAGACTGCCCTCTCAGGTGCTTTGTCACTCGTCAGAAGTCATTAGTAGTAGCAAGATTAGTATTTGCTGTGCTGAGAGAGAGGAGGAGGAATGAAGAGAAGACCCTGAGAAAATCTGCGGATGTGGCCATATAAGCGTGAGTCTGATATATAAACCCTAATATCACTTCAATTTCTATAGCTTTACAAGACTTCTCAAGTTTCCTTGGACCATTTTCATCCACCCGTCTAGGTCACTGCCAATCACATCGGGGATTGTGTCCTTCATGGCAATTCATTTACTTTACCTCTGCAGAGGAAAATGTTGGAGAACTTTTTGTGCCATTTATCACCCCCCCCCCCCCCCCCCCCCCCCCCCCCCCCCCCCCCCNTTCAGTGCAGAGACAGTTCACTGCAATCCCACAATGACAGGATGATTCTCATGGCCAAAGCCTTTTGCTCCTCACCTTCTTTATGCATTATAGATACTGTGCCACACCTCCAAAGGTTACCTGGCAGACTCTAGACACCATTACTGTCACTTGCATCAGTCTTGAAACACATTACATACTGTCTCTGCCAGTCTGGCTCGCACTGTGCTGCATAGTAGTGCTTGGCGCTGCATTTATACCAAATAGTGAAGTTTAAGCTGGTAAGTGAGTCGGTGGTTTGCCACTTTTTTCACGTTTTGCCTCTTTGGTTCCCTCTAGGTGCCATCACAAAGTTAGGAAGAGGAACCATACTCCGGTTTAACCACCCGACTGAAGCTGCCCAGCTCAGGGAGAAACGGCAGGTACAGACGGCACCCAAAACCTCCACATATGAGCTCTGTTGTGTTCTTATACTATCCTGCTGTTTTCGTAAAGCCGAGGGAGCCTCTGTCAGAAAAAGATGCTGCCACAACTGCATTTTCTGCTGGTAATTTTGTAAAGGCAAGTCAGCATCATGCACTTTGTTTCCATAACTACCAGCTGTGATATCTGCTTCCTTCAGCAAACATCGCTCATGTTGAACTCTAATTCACACTTCACTCCACATCACAAACTCTACAACAACACCAGCAGTGTGTGATCCATGCAGATTCTTTCTGATCAGAATAGGAACTCACCGCCTGCTTTTCAGCTGCTGCTTGTTTTTTCCTGTTTAGCATGAAACTCTCCGTCTTCGTTCTAATTAATTGGCTCACCAAAAAAAAAAAAAAAGCGCCAGACCTGCACATCATGAACAATCTCTCTGCAATATTGAACTGTTTTCAACCATAGAGAAGCTCTCTGCTGTTTCTGAAAGGAGGCCAGGTGCAGCGGCTTTCAAAACTGGCTGCTTTTTCGTCCAGCTTACAACAGCTCCCTCTTGGCTTTGTTTCACTTTCATGTGTTTTTTAAAGAAGCATTGTGTGAATGCACCCTCGCTCCAGAGGAAACAGCAGCCAGCGTTTCTCTCCAATAAATTGTGAATGTTTAAGTATTCTTAAGAAGTTTGGGTTGTGAAAGCCTGAGTGGGTGTAGGAATAAACACCTGTGTTTATGTGCTGTGCAGAATTAAGTAAATCACTTTAAATTTAGTAAACAATGGCTGAAAATGTAAGATGTTAAAACTCAAGTGGAAAGTTTAAAAGTTTGTTGTGGAGGGAGTCAGAAGTATCACTGTATGCTGCTGGTGATCATTTAGCTTAACCAAAGAATGCTCCTTCAGATTACGATCACATAATACATATCATATTTTGATTTTAGGTTAAAGGTCCAGTGTGTGGGACTTGAAGAGGCAACAGATAGGATTTGGGTTTTTTTGGCTTGGTGCCACCTAGTGTCAGAGGTGTTGTGTCGCACTGTCGCAAAGACCAAATTGACCGTGGGGATCAGAGATAATCAATAAAATGTAGGCTGTAAAGCCACCAGTATACCTCTATGTATATGTAGAATGAGAGGGTGTGTGGACACTACTAAATAAATGAGTAAAGAGACCGAGCAACAATTATCAGATTTATCTGAAGAAAAAACAAATAGTAATGCAAATAATTATAGCAGAATGCACAGTACCAGTACAAACAACTCACAGTAAATTATACCAATATGCACATGTAAACAGTCCCGATTCTAGAATGAAAGGCACCATATGGAAATGTTGCGGCCGGTTGGAGCTCAGACTGAATGGGAAACAAAGTTCAGTGTTCACTTAGCTGGGCGATGTCCGTCGATAGCTGCCTCCCGTGAGAAGAGAACAAAAGGAAGGGAGGGGGGTATCACCGTCCGAGGGCTGCTGTAGAATGGCAACGAGGATGTCAGCCGACCAACACTCACTACCCGGTCCCTGGTTGCGGCGATTTGCTATGCTGGCCAGCTAGGAATGAACTAGCAGCCAGTACAGTACAGTCCTCTCTCGGCTAGCTAACATTTAGCCGTGTTACTTACTGATCCATTAGAAAGAAAGCTAGCTGGACATCGGTTTTGAAGCCTCTTTGTTTTTTGCTCCTCTTTGCCTCCTCAGACAGAGGAGCTCGTTTTCTTTCGCTAGGCTGTTTTTCACTTGTTTCCAAACTTTGTCCGTCTGCCATTGTGCTCCTGACTCAACTATCTCATGCCCAACTCCTCATAAGGACCAGCTCCAGTCCCTGATTGGCTGACCGACCAATTTCGCAATACATGACGCGTTTCCTGCCATAAAGCAGATTTTTCCCGCAAAATTTCAGCACCGGTGGCAGAAGCTTATTGCAAAGCCACTAAGTGACATATGTAAATGATGATAGTCTGATTTTACTATGGCCACTACCCTGTGCAACCCACATTATTCTCATAATGATATATTTAGGAAAAGATGCTATCTGTTGCCTCTTTAAGGGGATATATTAGCAGAAATGCAATATAATATAAATAGTATGTTTTCTTTAATGTATAATCACCTGAAAATAAGAATTGTTGTGTTTTTGTTACCTTAGAATGAGCTGTTTATATCTACATAGAGAGCAGGTCCTTATCCACGGAGATTGCTATGTTGCACCACCATGTTTCTACAGTAACCAAGAATGCACAAACCATATCACTGGCACTATAGGGCTGTTTGCGTATCTGCATCAGCCACCGTTGTTAGTAACCCCTTTGCAACATGCCGAACAGTGTGTAGAAACACCGATATGTAATGTGAAATTGCTCTTGTTTTGAAATTTGAAATTGATCTGTGTTTTTACCAGTTTTAATCACCTGGTCTATTTGTTTTGGTGAGGATGAAACCTCTGTGGATAATTCAGCTCCCAGGAAACAATGAACACTCAAGTTTCAGCTGGTTGCAATCTGCAGTCCTCACCACTAGATGGCACTAAGTCCCCCTTCTGCTTTAAATACACCAGTATCTGTAAGGTGATCAATTTCTTAGTAGCACCTACATTGTGAGGACAAACCAAATCTTGCCAAATTTACTGAAAACAACCCAATCAGGGGAAGCACAGGAAAGTGCAGTTAGGTCAGTCAGTCTCAATTTGCTTCGCCCAACAAAAACAGACCGTCTGTATGAGAGGAGCACTAGTGAAGCAAGTAACCGAGAGGCCTGTAGACACTCTGAAAGAGCTGCAGGCTTCCATTCCTGATATGGCTGACACTGTGTGCATACAAATACTGTTGCCTTGGTGCCTCACTACTCATAGCTTTATGGCATGTGAGTTTTTTTCTACAGGGACTTCTACAGGCTGACATGTAGCTTAGTGTTTGTCAGAAGGCAAATGAAAAGGGGTGAAAACTTTTTTATAAACAACAATAAGTAAGCGTTGATGATCACAGAATCTGAAAATATTGCTTTAATATTCACAGTCAGTTTTTAAAATTAAGTTCCACTCTCGTATGCATTTGCCTTTAACTCAAATTGAGTCTTCTTTAAGTATTTCATCCTGTGCTTTACAACATTTTATGTTGTAAAATGGATTCACACACCATTTTATAGACACAGCTGTACTTCTAGTTTTTGACAGCTTTCTGCTCTCTGCATTATTGAAAATTGCACACCATTACAGCCAAGTAAAGTACAGACATCCAGGCCCCGCTGTGGTTCCCAGAAATGTCTTTGCCATTCATTTTTAACATCGATTCCAAATGAGATGGTCTCGGGAGCTCTGCATTCGCTCGCTCTCTGAATATGCTGCCACACCTAGAATTCAGTGTGTAACTGTTGTGAAAGGAAGTGGCTTTAAAATAGTTTTCAATGTTTCAATGGCAGCAAATTATATCTGAACAGTGCTAAAGATAAACTGTGAACTATATGGAACCACAAGCTATACATTACAGCTGCTCTTTCAAAATGCACAACCCTTTCATTTTAGAGATATGTGAGAGTTTCATGATGATTACCCTAATTTTTGGAAGGGCTTTGATTTACCAGATATTAGCGTTTGACATTTCTTCAAATGTTGTCAAAGCTCTTCAGTCTACCCTTTTATGTTTTGTGAAAAACAGTGTCATGAATACTGATGACATACAGCATATACTATAATTAAACCATTGCATAATTGCACATCCACCGCAGGCAGCTGTCACTCATTTCTTACACTTTGACAGATTTTCATTTCACAGTGCTGTCTCATTCTGTTGTCTGCAGAGCCGGCTGCTGTCTGCCTTCAGCCTGCCCTTGACTGACATGTCCAAATCTACCGTGAATCTGTCCAAGGTGATGCAGCAAAACCCAGGGTGAGACTCATGCAGACACGTGTAATAGCTCTCCACGCTCTGTGAACCGAGCATAACTGAACCCAGTCCACCTCAATCACCACAACGTGCCTGCTTATTGAGCAGCATTCATCAGGCACGTAGACCAAATCAAAGCCATAAATCATGGCAGCATTTCTGTGAGGCGAGGTGGGAACATGCAAAAGCCATTCTGATGTACTTCATGCTGAGCCAGTGGAAATCACAGCAGGCAAGTTTCCTGCAGCCCAAGGGTGTGTCCCAAAACGGCCCCTAGTTCTGTAGGTAGTGAACTGCCCTGTGTTTCCGTTTATAAAATGACTGACTGCAGTGCAGTTGAACTTCAGCTCCCCCAAATTCCCAGAATGCACTATGAAAATAAAGTAAGTGAAATCATTCTACCTAGCTGCACTTCCAGCAGATCCTTTTCACATTAAATCTTTCTCAGTCTACCTTCTTGTCTGCATTTGGGAGATCTCATCAGCCATGGCCCAACTAGCATCCTAATTCCAAGTCCGTATTTAGCCAAGAACAGTCTTGGGGTAGACAAGTGACCCAGCATGTATTTACAAGCAATGGCTGTTATAATTTTTACTTCTGAGACTTCTTCAAATCAGTTATGATTTTTTTTAGAAGATAAATTTTGATTTTGAAAACTGTCTCTGAGACCAAAGTTTTGGAATGCACTATGCTGTGTTAAAAACACTACAGAGTCTCAATGTCTTTCTTGCCATAAAGGTAAAGTTAAGGTTTATGTTTGGTATTGGGCTGTTGTTCAATAGTGCTGCTTCTGTGTACAGTACATTTGACTCCTTAAATGTAAGTAAATGTATGTAATCTTGCCACACACTTGATAATAATTATTAGTAAATATATTTAGGCTGCCCCCTGAAAGTTGAAGATTCACATCATTTGTTTTTGTCAGTCAGTGTGCAGTGCACCTGTGGGGACATTTCAGTCCCTGGATGTAGCTGCAGAGTGAGCACTTCTCACTTTCTGCTTTCACGCTGCTCCCTGGAACAAGTAGCTGCGAACCCAGGGTGAGTCTGAGTGAGATGGAGGCAGCTGTCTGGAGAAAGATGTTTTAACAGGTCCGGTTCTGAGATAACGTTATCTTCTTCCTTCTACTTAGAAGGGTTAGATTCACAGCTCAAAGCAACTGATTATGATACAGTCTCTGGCTTTTTAAAAAAAATCTATAGGGGGCAAAAAATGTTGCTGTAGTTAGCATGCATTAGCTAAAAGGGTTACTACAATATGTGAACATTGCTGTCACCCCAAACCCATTCAAAATCTGACTTTATGTTGGAAAAAAAGGAACAAATATTCCAATATTTTAATTGAACAGCCAAATTCAACCGACATTAGTTGACTACAGCCCTAAAATATGTAAATGAAAAGGGGCAGTGTAGTGTATCTTAAATTCTGTTTTAGAGGAAAAATACATTACAGTGAGGATAAAAGATGCATCTGCTGACTGCATGTCACAGTCAACGCAGATGAAAGCTCTGTAAAAGCTTGTTAAGTGGGCTTTTTCAGTTTTGAGATAATTTTGTCACACAGCTGGTGCACAAGGTTATGTTAAAGTGTCACGACAAAGTTCAAACTCCCAGGGACGGGAATTATTTTTGCATACTCTGTATCGAGAAAGGCTGATTGTCTGTACATGTACACACAGCTGCAAGTAATACAGTAACAGGAAAGTTTGATTCAGGTAAGTTAAGGATTTTAGGATTTAAGTCAGTTAAAGCCACAATGTGATACTGATAATGAATGAATTGATAATGATAATTTAAAAGATGCTATAATTATTATCAGCTAGCTCTTTACTGTTTACTAGCAGCAGTTGGGCACTTTCTTGACACAATAGCCTTCCAAACTCTGAGAGATATTACATTAATGTGACTGATCTTTACATGCTGCCACCGCCTTGGAACTGTGCGACAGGTCATTGATCTGTCAGTGTCTCAATGTTCATTGAATTAGTGCCCAAAATCCAATTCACTCTCTGGTGATTCACCACCCACTGAAGTAGTGAGCAATTTGAGACACACCTCCAGTCCCTCGTGATCTGATAACCCTGATGTTTTACAGTATGTGGAGCTGTCTGACATGTAATTTCCCCCACAGTGCAGTATCCCTAAAAAGCAGCGCATCCGCTCAGGTGATTCATGCTGCTTTTAGTCCAGACAGCTGTGACCGTTGTTCCCAATCCGCTGGTCTGACGCTGCTTGGATGCTAAAGAGTGAATACGTGTGTATGTAGAGGATTACTTTCTTCAAGGCTGCTATTAGTCGACCACACAGCTACTGTCTTCATCACTCTGCATCAGAAACACTTGGTTTGTGTGTGAAAGTGGTGTTACAGAGTGGGCAGAAGGTGGAGAAGAATGGAAGTCAGTGTGAGTCTGCGGTGGAGGGGAACTCGGACAGCTTGATTGAAGTCTGTAGGTGTTAATGGCAGATCATCAGCAGGATTGACACCTGTTTTTTGCAGCGTAGAAATACACAGAGCGGAATATGGCAGTATAGCACATTGCAAAATACACTTATTTGATTCCTCTGACCACGCACCATAAAATATTAAATAGTGCATTCAGCTGACAGTCATCTCTTTTTTTTTTTTTTTAAACCTCCCCTCACCTGGCATGCTAAACCATCATCTGTTGAAGACGGGCAGTAAAGGAAGGTCTTTTTCTTCTATCATTACTTAGATATGTATTCCGTCCTTGTTCTGCTTGTTGTTCGTGTAGCATAAACTCCCCACAGCAAGGACAGAATTGATCTCTAAGTTTGCCCAATCATCTAAATATAACCCTCAGTGGTAAATAAGCACAGATAATTAGAATTCAAATGGTGGCTGTGGATATCCGTTCAGCTCTGGGAGTGACACAAGATATCAATGAACTGACCTGCCATTGCTTGAGGGGGTGCTCCTTTGCAACAGAAGCAACGTGCCCATTATCAGCTACATCAGTTGGATCACAGACTTTCTCACTTGAGAGTTCAGATAGGAAGAGGCTAACTGCATTAACAAAACGTCCGACCTGCTCCTTACAGCATGAGAGCACTTCAGTTTTGTGTTTATCAGGATCTTTGATTCACTGATTCTTATGTATGCAATGTCAAAGTGCATTTACGTCAGCTGAATGCAGATTTTCTCATCTAGCAATGCCTCCAAGTATGAAGTGTAGAAAGTCGATTCAATTGAGCTTTTAGTTTTGGAAACACAAGATTGATACTCCTAAGAGACGAAGAGTATTAGGCCCAGGCATAAGGGAAAAACTGAGGAGCACGAAGTTTATTTAGAAATTATGCATCATAAGGATAAAGTCAAAATGTCAAGGATAAAGTCCAAATTTCAGGATTTGAGTCAGGCATAAGAAAAAATTAAAATCAAAAAGGAGAGTTTTTTTCTCTCTTAGCACTTCGAGAAAAAGTCAAAATTTTGAGAATAAACTTCAACTTCATTTTCAAGATTAGTGTTGACCTGAGAATAAATCACACTACTAGCATTAGCACATATGCCTACCATGACAAAATTATGTAGATGAATTGGGAAAACTATCATTCAGAATTGGATAAAGTAACAAGGAAATTATTTCTCTTATCGCATAAACAGTGTGGTGATAAGTATAGGGGCTTTGAAGAGATTGTTCAGGAGGAACCTGTGTGCAATACAGAGAAAATAAGTATCACTAGACACAATTTTATGGACATGAGGAGCTGACTTTGTTCTCAACATTTTGACATCATTCTCAAAATGCAAAAAAACATAGAGGCAAGAAAGGGCTACATTTGTCTGTTATGGCAAGGTGACACGCTTTGTATTGTGTGCCAATTCACGACCATCCACAAGACCAGTTCCTGAACTCCAAGTAAAAGTTGGCCCACTGTGTGTGAATCATTCTTTATTAAATGGACTGTGTAACAGAGACTGCCCCGTTGAAATGCAGCTCGCTCAAACCCAGCAAGTCTGGACTCTGAGAGCTCCAGTGATGGAGCGGGCCAGCTGGTGTGTGACCCATGCAGCTTTTAATGGCCACCTTATCTCTCAAAGTCCCTCATCTGACAACCCTCTCAGTATCCTCCATCTCTGGCCAGAAGGCCAAGTGGCAACTTTACTACTTTCCTCCTATGACCACCGACAGGCTGTTATTGGGAGCTCGAATCTCCTGAAATGGTGTTTTTACACTGGTTAACGTCCATCACTCTAGGAGCTCCTGTGCCACTTAACACCTCCTGCCACTAGCTTTAGTGCAGCTAGAACAATCTTACCTATGAACCTATCTTAAGGTTGAGATTCTTTTTTTTTTTTTATCTTCCATTTGTGTGTCACTTTAGTTTAAGCTGTTTTTTAAGTTAACATCCCAGGTGCCTCCTTCAAAAACACAGGTTGGAGTTTCATAAAACAGCTACAAAATGAACTGGAAATGTTTGAAAATATTGGTGCGAGATGTGTTAAATGGCGCGTATGAAAGGATGTAGGATTTCTCATAAAACCTGTGTGTGTGGGCGTGCGTGTACGATGTGATGATTAGGAGGATGGAACTGAAGCTCAACCAGCAGGAGGTGGAATGGCAGCAGGTCCAAGAAAACCTGAACAGACACAACAGGGACATCAAAAGACTTTCAAAGCAAAACAGTGGGGCTCCCCATCAACACAGAGAAGAAGAGAAAACAACGGGGGCAGAGATGGAAGAGACTGGCAATGAGTAAGTTGGGGGGAGGCGAACTGTGCTCTCTGTGGTGATGTTAATGAATCCATTGTTGGTGTACGTTTTGTTCGCAGTCATTCCACAGCGAGAACACTGTAAACCTCTGCATGTGAGCGAAAATGTGTGACAGGAAAAAGTAAATTGTATCAAGAAAATGTGGTCAGCTTTTTAGACTTGGGAATCCCAGATCAGTGTTCCTCCATTTATTCATGCAAATAGACAGACATCACTGAGTACAGGACATTCTCTGTACTGATCCTCAAGATCTGCAGAAATCCTTTAATCGTCACGAGGACCTACACTGTGATCCCTCTTGTTGATGTTGTCAATGCTTTAGCGCTCCCGCTTTCCCCCCTCGTCAACCTCCTGCAACACACAAAGCTCAGCCAAAGCCTCTGTTTACTGTCAGAAATCATTCTGAGCTGTATATTTGGTTTCTGCTCCCCCCTCTAGAGTGCTGAGTATTGTATGTAAATCCTCAAATCAACATGCACAGATTCTATTTAATTTCACAGCTAGTAGAGTGGCTCTAATCTCATCCAGCCATTTGTGCTGTTTGCTTTTCAAATCTAATGGATGGTTTTTGTGAAGGGGGGGGGGGGGGGGGGGGGGGGGGGGGGGGGGGGGGGGGGGGGGGGCGGGGGGGTTATTGCAGTCTTGTCTTTTGCCTGCAAACTGTTTGAAGTCTCCAGTGTCGCACCACAGCAAATAATTAAGTTTTGCTTTTGAAAACAAAGAGCCCAGCAGCATGTATAAGCATATAAACACAGCTGTATTGTGCGCATGCCTCCTCATATCAAGGCGCAATTTTTTTTGTTTTCTGATAGAATATGAAATGTATTATTTCGTTCTTATCTCTTCACGGTGTCCTTTTTCCAGCCAGATGGATACGCTTGCTGCAGAGACAGCTGTGTCCAAAGTGCCAAGCAGCTGTGTTACCTCTGCCAAAATGGAGATGCTCACGACTACAGTATGTATTCATTTTTTTTTTTGTTTTGTTTTACAGTTAAAACAAATCATACTCTTGATTGAATATAATAGAAATAAGGATGTAATCAATAAGCCATGGGTCATTTTTGAATGAAATATAACTTTAAATTGCTTTTAAGAAATAGAATAAAGCTAAAAAACACTGTGTAAAAAGTGAGACTTTGTTCTGCAGTTTTTGTTTATTGAGCCTCTGCTGCCACTGTGCAACTGAAGTACGAGTCCCTTTTGTCTTTGCAAAACAGAGCAAATGTCAATACCTATCCTCTCTCCAGCCAGGCCCAATACAGATTTTTATGAGGCATGAAATACTTTTTCTCTCGGCTTGTTGTTTGTTTATTATTCACATATTTTCTTTGAAATCCCTACAGGAAAGTGTAATAGGGTTTAAATGACACTCATTTTGTGAAAGCTTATTGCAATGAGAGCACTTTTGAAGTATTTTTGTTTATACTTGTACCTTGTTATTCTTCACTCCATTTTCTAGTGCATGTATTTATGTATTCAAATATAATTGAATACATAAATAAAGATACATTTTGAAGGGGGCTGGCTGAATAGTTATTTCAGTTCCCTCTCAGCAATGGCAGCGCTCATTATGTAGTCAATTGCATAAAGCAAACAGGAATTTTGAATCACTCTGTACAAAATCTCTCAAAGTTTTATTTCCTTTTTATTGTTTTCTTTTTCACATCCACTTACACACTATAAACTAGGGCACACCTGGAAAATATCCTGTCTGTCACACTAGTTTTGAGTTGGATGGAGACACACTGCAGGGTGGGATGAGCACCAGGGATGGCCAGGAGCAGGAGAGGGACTCGTGTCATAAATCAGGGCCAGGGCCCACGTCTGAGAGGCTGTGGAGGAAAGCTCAGAGTGGGGCTGGAGCTGCAAGTTATAAGGAAGAGGAGGTTTGGTCAGGGGATGCCAGCTGCCAGCAGACAAATGTCCTGGGCCTGGGTGATGGATGTGGCACGAAGCCAGAGGGGAATGCTAACGAGATCAAAGGCGTCATGTCTGACTGGTACAAGGAGAGACCTGGCTCTGGTGGGAGCTCATTAGGCAGCGTGTCCCACCTGCAGAGCAGCAGAGGAACTAGCTCCACACCCGTCCTCCCACAGACCAGCACTCCTCCTCCACTCGACAGAGTGCCTCTCAGCAGTCAAGCGGCCCGCTGTCCACCTGAGGGAACTACCTTCGAGGGCCAGTTAAGCTTCAGAGAGATGTATGAATCTGGAGGTTTGGAGGAGATCCCAGGAGTGTGTGTGACAGGGACTGCAGCAGCCAAAGTTCAAAACTCAGGACTGGCCTCTTTGGTCAGCAGAGTTTCCTGGATTGTCCAAGATGCAGGGCGTCTCCTTTGGAGCTCTCCCACAGTATTGCAGCAAGTCAGGGAAGAGGGAATACAGCCTGTTGGGGCCCGCTGGTCCAGTCACATTGTCTCTTTGATCAGGGAGAGTAATGCTCTCTCTGTAGTGAAGGACAGCCAGGTAGTATCCATGGTTAAAGGTAGCTTTGTCTTCGCCCTGTTGAAGGATAGTCACATTTTTTCCTTGGTGACAGAACTACCTCTCATACAGCACATCCATATGGAGATAACTCAAAACCTTCAGCCTGAGGAAGCAGCTCAGATGATTCAGGGCTGCATTAATCCTGACAAAATCCAACTTCCAGTCCTGACACCAACACAAACCTTTAGCAAGGCAGAGCAACTGCCAGATGATGTACCACCAATCCCAGAAGATACCTGGACAAGGAATACGAGTATCAGGGATCTGCGGTTACCAAAAAAGGAAGACATGGCTGATATTCATGTAAAACAAGGAGACAAACTGATTACAGCGCTGTCACCAGTGAAACACATCAGTCAGTCAGAGGCTGTCCGTGCACCTGAAGACAAAGATCAGGCATCAGTCAACTCAAGGCCTCTGCAAAGCAAAAAGGACGTTCAAATCTTTTGTCAAACGTTGATAGAATTTCCTGATTCCCTTTTGTACCTGCAAACTCTGCCACTGCAAGACATGATGGACGCTTTAAAATCTATTGTCTCTACCTCAGTGCTCACCTCCCAGAAGATTATAGCTCTCTATTGGCTGAATGTAGCTAAGTGCTGCCAACCTGAGCCTCGTCCTGCCCTCCTGATCCTGGCAGAGACTGGTCTCTACACCCTGACTTCTGACTCTGGGCTCCTGGTTTTGTTCCATCAACTCCCGTGGTTGCAGCTCAAAGAGGTGCAGATAGGCTTAGCAGGCCACAATCTGCGCTTGATAGGCAACACAGAGGAGAGCATCCTGGGTGTCTACACCCTCAGTCAGAAGCTTACCAAAGAGCTGTGCTGGGCCATACTTGGTGTCATCTGCCCCGGGGACAACAGGGTCTCCCAGCACCCACTGCTCCATGGAGACTTGATGAAGTTGTCTTTTGACTGGCAGGCCTGTGTGCCCGACCTGCTGCTGGATGCTGGTTTAAGGGTTTGTTGCCAGTTTCAGAAAAGTCTTGCTGATCTGGTTTATCTTCTTCATTGTAACATGGATCAAGAAACAGTAACTTTGGGAGAGGTGCAGCTACTACTGTGCACAGGTGTGAGGGCGTGCATCAGCCCTAGTAGCCACACTGAGCCTCTGGCCCAGCTTCTACTCACTGATACCCACATCGGCCTGGTGCAGGAGGATGCTGTCTTTCACCCAGCTCCATGCTCCGTCACCACAGTGAGCTGCCGTCCCCAATTCAACGACTTAACTCTCCGTCGGCGCTCAGATGTGCGCTGCGTGCTGCTGCATGATGAAGACGAGCGCGGGGCTGTCAGACTGGATGTAATCCTAGCAAATGTGAGGGGCAGGGGTCACCCTGAAAGCGTGACTAAGGCAGCTACCCCGCCAGCACAAGCTTCAAATTCATCTCCGCATGCAGAAGTGTGGAAATTAACTTTCAGTTGCTCCTCTGAGGCCGCCTGCCTGATTAATCACTTGTCAAATGTCTGATCAAGGACTGAACAGCCAGTAATGAACAGCCCAGCTTGAAAACTCTCACTCACAGGGAGCAAAAGTGCATCACAACCAGACAATGCAAAGGACAGCTTCTCTGGTAAATGACAGTGAAAACTATGACCTATTTTGAAGTTTCTGTATTGATTTGTGTTTCTAAAAGTTTTTATCTTTTTAATATTGCATGGCTAGAGCACTTTTATCTTTAAAACCCTTGAATTTCTTTGTTCTTCAGTTGTTATTGTTCTTTAACTGCTAGCCTCCCATTATTGTTGTTGTCAAAGAGGTTGTCAGTTTAATATGGGATGTTTAAAATAATTAGGGGTTCAAGGTTTAACAGTGAGGATTAAAAACATGTTTGTTTATTTCATTTGTTTCATGGGCATTGTTTTTATAGGATTTTAGATTACCAATCTGATCAAATGATCTCACTGTCAGGTTTACTTAATGTATGTATGTCAAATTGTTGCCAATTTTAAATATTGTATATACAAATAGATCTATTGAAATGGATATGTGTGAATATATTTGTATAAATAAAAGGAAGGTAAATCCACTGCTGCTCTGGAGTCGTGTTTACCACTTAGAATGCAGATAAGCTCTGATAGTCGAGCTTTTAACTCGGGAAAACAAAGAATTCAGAGTCTGATGCATCTCGCTGCTTTGTCTAATGTCTAATATTTTGTCTCCCTATCATCTTCGTCAGGCTTTCTTTATTTTCCTACCCTCCTCTCTTTTGTTAGCTTTGGCACAGTCTCCTTTTCTTCCTTTCAGCCTCTTCTTCACTGTCATGCAGGACTCTGCATGAATCTGTATTCCACTCTTATCATCGGACTCGCCACTGGAAACATATTCTTAGTATCCGAGGTCAAGGTGAACCTCCTCCACAGAGTTACTACCTGCACAATTACTCGTTGGATTTATACCTGCCAGTCAACATTGTCTCACTCCGGGACAAGACTTGTTCATTCTATGAGAAATGCTTCAAATTTTGAAAAGCTTGATCATGCTGCATCTCTGAGACAGAACTTGAGTCTGATTCACATCTCGAGAGTTGGAGCCAAAGACTGTTTGCTCCTTGTCTTGACTGAGTGACCCCATCCAGCATGGAAAATTACAGGGGCAAAATAGTGCAATCAGTCCTCTTGTCTGCTCCGGCATGAAGGATGGAGATTTGGCCTCGAATGAAGAAACACATCACACCTCGTAGCGGTGAGGTTTGAGCCAGGATGAAAGCTCAGGGATGTGAAAGGGTTGTTTTTCTCCCTTTTGCTCGAGACAGTTAATTAGCATTCAAATCACCTCCTGTGTATCACTACCTTCCTGTGAATAAAACACAAAAGGCAGACAAATCATATCCTGATATATTGAAATGAGGCTAGACTAATATAAACTGCAAAATGAGAGACAGTCCTTCTGCAGATAAGACCATAAATTACGTCAGTATTTGGAAACAGAAGGTTCAGCGGGCCACCCAGTGTCATAAAGATTGATTATCAGTGATTGAGAAGTATCAGTGACTGTTTGAGTCATGCCATATTAAATGGGGGCTGGTGAGTTTGTTCATTCTCGAGGCAGTTGGCAAACATCTCTAACTTTTGCGCCTCCCCTGTACCATATGTGATGCCTTCAGTGTGCTGTTTTGTGGAACAATTATTTGGGAATGTAAATTGAGGGGTTGTGAGTAATCTTTAGTGGCACCAGTGAATTATTTCTCAATAACAGCCATCAAAAATTAAATTTAGGGCTGTTTAAATGGGAAACCACTGCAGATCTTCTATCCCATCAGTTCGGCGGCTGGCTTGTGTCTGAAATAGACAGGAGCTCTTGTTGGGCACAGCCTGGTTAAGGGGAAGTGCTCACTCTCAGACAGCAGATACACATACTGGCAGGCTTTGAATCTCTAATCATTACTCTGTGTGATTTCCCACTGGGTTCTCCGGCCCTAATATGCACCGTCATTGACAGCACATAACAGGATAATTTGTTTACCTCCTCCTTTGGAAGCATGTGAACGTGACCCAGTCAGTTCTCTCATTGCTTAGCTGTTGATGGGCTAAATATTTCTTGCGTCAGTCCCGATCGCTCTGCCTGCCTGTAGCATCCACAAAAATGTAATGATTCACTTACATGCTTTCTTCTGAGATTTAGGAGACTAATCCATGACCTACTGCTTAGATGCAAATTGGTCCTGATGATGTTTTGTAGTTTTATAATCAAATCAGTTTGATTAGGACAGGACTGGTAAACTCAAATCACCCCGTGTACTTCAATTTCTTTTGCTTGGAGAGAAGCTTTCCTGGTTACAAATTAGACTTCACTCCAGAATAAAAAAACCATCTTGTTAAACCAAGAACTACCGTAGTCTCTTAGAGAAGCTGGCTTCCCAATTTAACCTGATAGTGGCCTTTTAGAGAAGAGGTGCACTGATCAGCATGTAACATTTAGAACGCTTGCAAAGACAAGCCTCTGCTCGGATAGAGGCAATTTGTACCTTGGACCAAATGCTGAAGTGCAAATGCTGTCATTTTTAAATGTAATCGACTATTAGCCTACAGTATAACTGAACTGAACATGAACAAACAGCTCAATACTGATGCACAATGTTTTGCTGTCATCTGTAAGTTTGTTATTGTTGCACATGTTGCTGTATAAGTTGCCTACTTTGTTTAACACTCATTCTTGAGAACTGGGACAAAACCTTTTTTTAATTGTATTTTTACTCTTAGATTATGTTGGGAAAAGTGCACTTTATAAGATAAAAGTTTTGTCTATTAAACCATGTAATGGGCCAGCCTGCCAGTGATTTATTTTTTTTCTTAAGTAGCATAAGATTTGACAGAGTGGATCATAGTTTAAAAAAAAAGAAAAGAAAAAAAAAAGTTCTATATTTATTGATTTCACAGCAGCTAATTATTCTCTTAATGCTAATTTTTTAAACCATAATTCTCTAGAAGGGCTATAGAGTTGACATGGTTGAGATGCACCTGATGGCAATATTATTTAATGTATTTGTCAAAAAAAGAAAGCCCACCAATACTTGAGCAGCAATTCCATCTTTTTGGAAACCAGACAATGAGACTTTTATGTCTGATTAAATTATGTTATGATAAAAGAAATGTGGGACACATCTTTAGGGGGCCAACATTTTTACAAAAAAATATGTTTAAAAACAAAGATTATTATAGTAGCATATTTTTACGCCAACTGTGAGCTTTGTTTTAAAAGCTTTTAACACATTTTTTTTTTTTTTAAATTGAAGTTGTGAATTCTTGTCTGGGACAAGGTTATTTACTGGCACAGGGCATGTGTTTAGTTTAAAAAAAAAATGAAAGCAGATCAAAATATTTTATCAAATTCATTTCATAAATATGATTTAAAAAAAAAAAAAAAAAAAAGTTTCACCCCAAAAATGGAAGTAGTGTTTTGAAATGATAAAAATGGGACTTGACCAGTTTGTTGCAATCAAAAAATCCTCCAAAGTCACAACTATTTCAGCTTCTTCTGGACATGTTCTTGCAGGCGAATTTTCTCTGTTGCTGTCAGGACGTTGTTACGCTTTACCTGCTTGTAGAAGTAACTGGTATTTAAAATCTTTTATTCCTTCTGCTATTTGTCTTTTGAATTCTCTGTAAAATTTTGTTTTTTGATATATTTTTTTAATCTTTTATGATAATCTAACTTTAAATATAGATTCCTTTATTCCACTGAATGCCCTTTATACATTTTTTTTTATTTGTTTTTTTTTAATTTTATTACTCATTTATGTGTCTACATGTTGTCTGTATGTGTGAAAGGCAGGCTGTTCAAACAAATTGGTCCTAGTGGGATTAATAAAGCTGTCTGAATCTGATTCTGTAGTTATAATTTTAAACTCTAATTGGCAGGACATGGTTTGTCCCATGGGTGTTAAACATATCTCCCTTGTTGTTACACTTATTGTTGTAATATAGACACGCACACATGTACATTTAGTAGTTAATAAAGTATAGTCTCTTTGTGAACAGCTTCACACTCTTGAATGGAGCTTAGTCTGTAAACTAGTTCAGACATCTTACATGCACTGCTACACTCACATGACATATTTTCCATGCTACACCTTATGTCTAACGCACCCTCTATAATCAGGTGGTGTATTTAAGCCTCACTTCTAACTCGGCAAACCTGGCTGCAAACTGCAGAAACTACTGAAACCTACTGCTAACATTCCCATGCTTGCCTGCCAGCAGCCCGGCCATGTTGGACACCGTTGTGACGGCGGTGTGTTTCTGCTGCCTGCCCAGCAGCTTCTAAAGGTGTTGAATCACCTGTAGGCCACAGTGCACTTTGGAAGCAGACATTTTGGGATGTGTAACCACAGTTGTATTCTTTTGGCTCTGCTGCGATGCCAGAAGACCACTGCCTCACTTCAAGATAAGTACTTGCTGTTATTGCTAACATGTTTATTCTTGGCTCACTTGTGCTTGTGTGGCAGTGACGGTTAACAGCTAAGTGGAGGTGCTTGTAGCCAGATATTTCAATGCTCTTCACGGTGTTAATGAGCACCTCTTGGTAATTTAGCACCTTCTGGTAAGAATAAGGAAAGTTTTCGTCACTTTTCTTTTCTTTGTGACACTTGACAGATGGTGCTGTGTCTTTTGTGGTGATTTTAAAGCCTTTTCTGACTTGTCATTGCAGGAAAAGTACAGGTGTAACCTTAAGGATAACATTAGACCCAATCATGGAGCAGTTTGATGAAGTCATTAAGCTGGAGCCGGAATATCTAAATAAATGGGTGTCATCAGGAATGCTATCAATGACACTTGTGCTGTTCTTACTATGGTAAAATATAAAGTATCCTCTGTTTGCTACAACACTCATCGTCCTCATGTCATTAAACACACCTGTGCTTGGATGTCACTATTAACACTTGGGAAGGGCTTGTCCCATGAACTTCTACACATCAGTCATTGATTTTTCCCATGCTGGTGTCTGTTTTTATGGCTGTGCTGGTTATTTTCTTTGTGGCACTGCCATGGTGTACAAGTACACTGCTGGTTTCTTTTGAGTTTTTAGTTTCTATCTAATGAAGCTCAGTGCAAGTTCAATCAGGAAGACTTTCTTTGTGCTCATCAATTTACAATTCTCTCCATCCATCCCACTCTCACTACTTCCTCTAATCACTTGACTGTGGGTGTTCACTGTTATAGTTATCCACTAAAACTTTGCCATGATCTCTCTCAGCCAATCAGGATGCCACTGCAAAAGTTTAAATCTGCTCTCTCCTCTGCTGCTGTCAGCTGACATATTAGGCAGAATCTTTGCGCCCTCCACCACCCTGTTCACCTCCGGCCATCGTATCCAGAGTCCAGGACAAGCTCAACAAAGGCTCATTCCTCTACTCATCCAGATGATCAGCACTTCTCCATCTTCCTCTCATCTCATCTTCACCACCTCTACCACCACCAGCGTCCAGACCCCAGGGTGGTTCCCTGTTCGACTATGGATTCCTCACACTCCTTAAAGGGATAGTGCACCCAAAAATGAAAATTCAGCCATTATCTACTCACCC